ACACAGCTGAAGCATGCACAATTATTTAGTGCAATGATGATGACCAGGTGCTGACATGCACAGTCACAATTTCCCCTAAACAGAGGTGGTCTCTGAAAGAGATCAAGAGAGAGAAGTGCTGAAGGGCTGCACTTAGAGGCTCCAGTCATGGAGCCATGCTACTCTCAGCGTGACCATAGTCACAGAGGGCTCTCAGCACTGGGTGCAGGCTTGGGGAGCAGACCTCCTGCTGGTGTGGCACCAGCCACCCAGTGATGGTGGCACGACTGAGTTCAGGATCCCATCCTCAGGCAGGTTGCCAGTGTCCTGCAGCCACCAGGATCTGCACTTTGCTTGTGACCAAAATGCTCTGAGATGAGGTAGATGGAACTCAATCCCCAAATCCATTTACTTGAGGTTTTCCATGACACTAACTGGCTGCAGTCAGAGCCCACTCCCTGAAATCAACGTAAGGGAGGCAACAACCCGCTATACTTAGGGAACTCACCCATTTCTGTGACTACCTAAAGGGAATCTAAATAGAAAATTGTTCTTTCAGTATCCAACTGGATTACACTTGCCTTGATTGCACCCAGCCTGGGTTCCCTGTCCCTTAGGAATGAAATCCTTCACACTGCTCCAGCTCCCAACTCAACTGAGGGGAATACTTTACATCACTAAAGAATGCTAACAGACAGATTTTGACAGAGATGTCATAATAAAGCTGTAATAAAGTGAAAATAGAAAACTTCAGTACCAATGCAGTCTATACTTCTCATTAACTTTTAAACAATGAAGGACAGACTGGCTCAGCTTTTGCCCTTTTTTCACAAGCTTGACTAAAGAACTAGAGCAGAAGACAAGCCTTAGTTACAGGTTAGTGGAAGGATGAAAGAAAGGCTCCCTATCTGAATTCCCATTAGCTCATTGTATGAATTTAGAGTTGCTATATTCCTTGCATCTAACAGCTGGATTTATATAGCAGCACCTCCCTGCACTGCTGCAGAATATGCTATCTGAGAAACTGAAAGGGTTTTAAAAATGCTGTTGAAATTACACTTGTAAGGAAGAAGATAATGTGGCTTACCCAATAAACCACAACTGCTTGCCTGTAGCTTCATACCCAGTAGCAAGTGTGAAACAACTGGAGACATCCCAACATTGATGAAAAAAAGATGACTACCATGTATTTACTGAAAGGCAAGAGTGCATAGGAAAAGCTACCCCAAACTCCTATTTTGCTCCTATATTAATGTTTTGCAAACTATTTTGAGATAAACCAATAAATATCATTCTATTTAATGTTACAGCTCTAAGAGATTAGATCATTTTTAGAGTGGTATTGAGCTTATGGAGAGCACAAACTGCCTAGCAGTTAGAAAGAGCAATCAGTCCTGACAGCTCATGTGCTCACTACTGCTTAGTTATTTACAATGATGTATCCAGTTAATTTGGGTCTGTTTTTGTCTTAAAGTTTCTCTCCATCAAAGTGACTTAGTAATCTGTTCTATTTAAACGCTGTGCCTTGAACCTTCACTGATGAAAACTGATTTCACCGCTGCACCTCCAAGCTTCTCAGAATGGAACCTTCAGGGGAAGGTATCTTTAGAGACAAACTGCTAGCAAGCAGCATTCACTGTATAGACTGCTGTTTCCATTATCAATATGTAACTGATCACTTGGGCTGCGGGGTTTTGTTTGCGATTCCTAGTAGTCAACGGAATTATAGTACACCAAAGCAAAGATTAGGCAAATAATAAAAGGTAATTTTAATGAAACTATCAGAAAACTCCCAATTAAAAAGAAAACACTGATACAGCTCTCTGTGGTGCTGACTAGTCCATCATCCTCAGTCATATTTTAAACTTCACAACAAACTGTGAGGAAAATATGAGGAAGGAGGGAGGCACTTCTGCCCTAATCTATCTATTTAACAAGATAATGTGATTTTTAGATGAGGAAACTGCAGTATTCTTGCTTGACTCCAGATACACCAGCACAAGTGAAAGAGCAACTGTACCACAATTCAGGACTTGGCTGTTCAGTCTCTCTCACCACAAGCCTTTGACAGGACCCCCAGGACAAGAAGAGGAACATGGCCCTTGTTTTAAAAAGACTGGATCGACTTAGGGTCTAAATATTAGTGACCTGTCCATCATGATTCAGTTGGATTAACTGAATCCTGGTCAGCTTAGAAGCATGAGCCATCAGTACAATGCAGGTAAATGTGTTTGTTTAGCCTAGCAAAGGCTGAGGGAGCACGCACTTACTTGAATCAGTCTATCAAGAAAGAAAATAGAAGGGTGCAAGACTGGCAGCTGGAGGTAAGGACAGTAGTACCCAAATGAAAGATGTAAACTCACCTTTTAGGTAGGAAAACAGATTACAAAACTACAGTAACAGCAAAAAGTCCTGAGAGGAACTCCATGGGGTTGTCTCCTCCTTACCCTGTGGCTGTGGGTCAGCTCAGCCTGAGCCACACCTGATGCATCTGTTGGGTCTGTTCACAGCACCCACCTGGGGAGGGACCCTGGCCCCAGCAGCTGTTGCTCAGCTCACCTTGCAGACAGGCAGCTTTACCCTAATGTTCGCCTTCAATCTGTCCTGCTGCAATTTAAAATCCTTTTCTTCTTTCTTGTCCCCAGTGGTTCAGGAGAACAAAGTGCAGCCTGTTCTGGGAAGTGCAGCCCTCCTACTGCTAAGCTGCTGGGGGACCCTGGAGAGCAAGATCTTGTGAATTTATCAATGGATTTTATTTAATTTCTTAATTTATTTTCATCTTTACTTAAATTTTGATTAAATTGGTCTCCAGTTTCCTTGCCACCATTGGAGCTCACTTAGCTATTGTGAGAGTCATTTTGGCACAAGGACATGTACGGGGAAGTACTGGAGAGAAAATGCAAATTTTGTTGGAAAAATCCACTGGGGAAGATGGAAAACTCCAATTTTCACTTTTATCCAAATTAATTCATTTGGCCATATGCCAATTTTGGTTTAAAGTTCAACATACATTTTCCACAAATTTGCATACAAGTAATTACCTCCCACATTAACTTAGATAAAAAGTAAGTACAAGGAAACATGAATTGTTGTTGTAGCTTCCAGAGTGATTTGGTATAGATTTTTTCCACTATTCAGCTATTTTTGTATGTGTATTAAATTAATTTGTTCATTTCAGGGAAAGACTTGCATTAAAGCAATCCTATGTCAACTCAGAGGCAAAATTTCTTGTAACTCAGTGGAGAAAAAGTGACAGAGAATTAAAGTTTTGGTATAGAGATGATACTCTGGTATGGAGATATCAAATAAAGACAACACTTTTTAAAATTAAATCTGTGAAAAATTGTTCTTCAGCTCTTCTCAACATATGAGAAAATGGAAAATCTGCTACATTAGTATACATGTGTTAGCACCTAGGTACTGCTATGAAGACTATGCTGTGAATAGTACTTATAAATGAAGAAATTTAGCAACATCATTAATTTACCAGAATCACAACATTGTGCTTTCCGTTCTTCTTCATCTCCTTCATGAACTCAGGCAGACCAGCAAAATTCACTTTATCATAGGTGAAGTCCAGGCGACGTTCCATGTAGTCAATATCAAAATGTTGGACATCCTAAACATTTTTAAAGTAAAAAATTACATTAATACTTCATCCAGCTCTGGAGCTCTCACACAGGGAAGAAATGGATCTGTTGGAGCAAGTCTAGAAGAGAGCCACAAAAATGATCAGAGGGGCAGGAGCACTTCTGCTATGAGGACAGTATGAGACAGGTAGGGCTGTTCAGCCTGAGGAAGAGAAAGCTCCAGGGAAAACTTACTGAAGCCTTTAAATACCTTGAGGGGACTTATAAGAAAGTTGAAGTCAGACTTTTTTTGTAGGGTCTGTAGCAACAGGAGAAGGGGTGATGGTTGTAAACTAAAGGAGGGTAGATTCAGACTAGGTATAAGGAAGGAACTTCTTACAATGAGGTGGTTGCACAGGTAGATGGTGAATGCCTCATCCCTAGAAACATCCAAGATTAAGTTGGATGGGACTCTGAGCAACCTGAATTAGTTGAAGATGTTCCTGCTCATTCTAGAGGGGTTGGATTAGATGGTTTTTAATGGTCTCTTTGAACTCCAACTATTCTATGACTTAAGTATTTGATACTGAAATCAAACTTTAGAACTGTAATTCTAAAACGCAAATAATACATGTAATGAAACCTAAGAGACTGTAGTTGTAATCCTAGTAGTGGACTACAAGAGTACATAGGAGCCCTACTTTAGCAACTATTTTGCAGTGATCTGCATTAGAAGTTTGTTCTTCATTATTTGTTTTTAAAATGCTAGCATCTCATACTGCATAACAGCAAATCCACACCAGAATTGCCTACTATACAGCCACTTATATTTAAAAATATTATTATTTTTTCTCCATTGTAATTTTATTCACCTCACTTCAGAGTGTAAGATTAGCACACACAGTGACAAATTCAGACTTACATATGGGATGTCATAGTGCTTCATGCGATCGACGGTTTCCTTTAAGACATCAAGGCTGCCATAGCCCCAGCGGGAGAGCTGGAATCCCAGAGACCAGTAGGCTGGCATGTGTGGGCGTCCAATGGCCTGCAGCAGCAATCAGGAAAACACAAGCACAAGGGGTGAGAAGAAAAGTTATTCTGAAACACCAGGAGAGGCTTCCAGATCATGTAAGGCATAATGACCAGGGCACAGGCATCACACCCCAATTAAATACCCATTCCTTTCTCCAAGTGGCTCTCGTCCCAGCATGCCTGGCATTTCTCCTGGTGGATCCTTGCCCTTCACAGAGACTCCAACACCAACACTGAGCATCCCTTCTAAGAACACCTCATCCGCACGTTGTATAAAAGCCAGGCTGATGTTAAATGTAGCCTCAGCCTCTGCACAGCAGCATGCACCTCACTTACAGCACATGCAGAAATCATGCCAGCAGAAATCCAGCGTGGATCCTCATGCCACCTGATCCATGAAAAGTCCACAAACCCCTTGGTCAACAGAAGGCAAATCTCCAACGACACACAGCAACATAAGCTTTGCAAACTTCTCTTGCCACACCCAGCTTAACTAACTTACCAAGACACTGATGTTTATTTGAGCTCTCTGAAGTTTTAATCATATTTACAGATCAACCTGATGAAACTCAGTTACTTATGGCTGACTACTGTTATTGCTGACCCACAGCCTTGTGTTGCCAGGCACTGACAACCGTTCTTCAAGGCCGGAGTTACTGTTTGGTCCTGAAATTCTCAACTGTAACACAAGGTAATGAGTTAAATATGATTTTATAAATATTTGATTTCCACTGTCTGAATGTAATCCATCTGTAAATGGCATGAGGAAACTCAATTGAGAGCACAGCGAAGCAAGGCATCCTGCTCTGCTTCCCCCAGTGAGTGCTGCTGTGGTAACCTGTGATGAGCAGTGGGCAATCACAATGTGTCTGTTCTACAAATAAGCTGAAATTTGGCTTTGTCTCATTAGTACACACAGTGTTTTCTGGGGGACATCTCCTGAAATCCTAACTTCAGTTAAATCCAATGAAACTAACCTTTGATTTGTATTTCTAACACCTTTGCAGGCAATACATGAAAATCTAGTAGCAAGCAAGCACCCATGACTTATTAATCAGCAGCTATTGTCCCCCTTTAGCTAAATAATGGTTCCTCCCTTATTTCCTTGTGGATCTCCATAGTTATGTAGATGGTAATTATGCTAAGTGAAAAACAACAAAACTTGCATATTGGCAGCTAAACCCCATCTACTTGAAATAAATAAAACAAAGAACTTCTGGCAGTCTGTATCTATTGCATTGCTAAGCTCTCTGGAGATGCATTGCATGAAGGCACACCTTCCTATGGGATTTTCCCTAGGAAGAGTCTGACCTGGGAAAGCAAGGCTGAACTTGAAATTGCTCTAAAATCATCACATCACATGCTAGAGCATCAGTACACGGAGGTACAAAGTGCATCAGACAGAAAACCACATGTGGGAGAGAGGCAGAGAAAAGATGAGGAGGTTTTTAATGCCACTGAGCTGGGAAACACACTGAGTAAATTGCTTCCAAACAAGAAAGGCTTAGGAACACACAGTCAAACATTACATATTTGGCTACAGTGTACTTTCACTTTGTTGGGATGCTGCTGTTTCACATAAGCAAAAACATAAGGAGGCCATAACCACTGGTGAGGGAAATGCTTTGGGTGTCTCCAGGAGGGACGCTCCACCTGATAAGCACAGTTGTCCCATAGATCTGCCACTTGTCCTATCCCACCAAACTTAACTTTCCTGATCCTCCTCCACACCTACTTCTCCTCCAATTCAGCTGGAGGCTGGGGTCTTTTAGAAGAAGCGGTAACAGCCCTCAGCAGCAAGTTTCTGCCACTGAGGCACTCAGCCTCCACTGCATGCTGCTGTGCCCTTGCCAGGGCAGGCCCTGAGCAGACAAAGGTGGTCCCCTACCATGTAGAGGGAGGCTGATGGGCAGACACATGCCATAACTACCCTGGTGCTATCCCATCTCCTTGCACATGTCATCAGTGTTTTTCCAGCATGTGTGGGTACACCTGGTCACCCAGACCACCTTCCAAGCTCTGCTGGGGTTTTCTGTGGAGAGCTGAACGGGGTGTGATGGCTCAGGACAATCCCAGACACCTTGTGAGCCAGCACCAAGCTGTCCAACAGAGCGTGCCAAGCCTCAGGACAAGAAGTCTTCTCTGTCACATCCACACTCACCATGTTAAGGATAAATTGATCTGAGGAGGCAGCAGAACTTGTTTTAGACCAGCAAAGGCTTCAGGATGAGCTTTGTGAACCCGCCATTTTGTGCTCCTAAAGCAGATGCACATTTTGCCCTTGCTTTCTCTACTGTAAACAGAGAATGACCTCTACAAACAAGGTTAAAAAAACAGACCAAAACAAAGAACTCCCTAATGAAATAAAATGCTTTGTGCACAGGCTTCTCATCTTGGACAAGAGAAATAGGGAAAACCAGCTGATAAATATTAATCCTGCAGCTAAATGCAGAGCCCTGTGCCCTGGCAGGATGTCTGCATGGCATCTGCTGCCTTTTCCCAAGCAGGATGGGAAATGGAAAAGGGGTGACCAGCCTGGGCAGAGGCAGTTGGAAGTGCTGAGCAGCTCTGCTCTGGGTCCTGTGGTACCCCAGGTCACTCCCGCCTGGCGAGGACAGTCAGTCTGGGACGTTGCCAATACAATTCATTTCAAGAGCTGGATGGGGATTGGCTTCTTCCCCCATGTCCTGTCAACTATGACACGCTGACATGTGGGGCTGGAGGTGGAGCTGTGGCCACTCTCTCAGTCAGAGCCCTTCCAAAAGGGCATGTCCCCAGCACTGGGGTTTGCTGAGGTTCACCTGCTCACCCTTATGGGATAGTGTTGTGTCACTGTGGACCACAGAGCCAGACAAAATTTTGTGACAGCACCCCTTGAGGAGTTTGGGGTTTACAGCTGAACCAGGAGCAAAATATCTACCTTGCAAGGATGATATTAAGTTCTTAAAGCAATTAGTTCTCCAGGTTCACCTGGCTGGTGCATCTATGGTGAGCTTAATTGAAACCAGCAGAACATTTGAAGAGGAAGGATGAAAACAGGCCAGCTGGGAAAACAAATGTTCTTTTTTCTAATTATGCTGTGGACTCTCTCTAATGGATCCCCCTGAAGCTTCCTGATAAAGTAACTGACATATGGTACCCACTCACAGATGGATCAGCAGAGGCAGGAATGTAATTTTGCAAACCTGAAAACTCAAGTTGGATTTGATATATATTTAGGATCTAGTTAATTCATATAGATTGCATTCTGCATACAAATGATCAGAAAGTGCAGCAGCCAGAGAAAGCGTGCTTGACAAAATTGACTCTCATTGAATCAGAAAAGGTAGATGTGGTATGGCAGGGGAACTAAGGGAGGAAACCACAGAAACAGCAAACATATGCGGTATCCAAAATGAGGGGTGGAAAAAAAAAAAAGCACAAAGATATGGTAGCGCAGAAATAGTAAAAAAAAAAAATAAATTCCTATTTTCTGTTCCAGAATTCTTTCTTCACTTGCTTCTCAAATAACCCCTGGTGTTTAATAAATTCACTGTTAGTTTTTCAGTGTTTACATAACTTGGTATTATGTATATTTTTTTCACTTATTTCAGAGCCACCTGAGAGCTGATGTATCGAGGAGGTACCCTGGAAACATTTTGTGGTAAGAATGGAGTTCATACTTGTTGGAAACAAGTATATCTAACATACAAAATCTGTGCCTAGGGAGCAGGTGATCTGTATTTATTTTCCCTGTGTTGGATTATTGAACACATAATGTTATTAATATGAGCATCAATGACATGAACTAGGTTATAAATTCTATAGAGTAAATCAGGATCCTATTCAGTTAATACTATGACCAAAGACTTTGATGAGAAAGAGACAACTGCAGAGCTCTGCCTATATATCACAGAGGCTAGAGAGAAGTACTCTTTCCTATGCTCACAAAGGAGCTGAGATGTCCAGCAATATATATTGCTAATTGTACACCCTAATTAGCCACACAAAATGATTTCTGAAACTTGATATTTATTTCAAATCCTTTCTTCAAAAAGGAGTTATAGGAGGAAACTATAAAACTCAAGTGTGCTAATGCACTGGGTTTAATGTTTCTGTATAGTTATACAATGGCTAAATTCCACAGGTGCTCTTACGACCCACGTATCTGTATCCAGATCATCTGCTATGACTAAGGCAAGCAGCTGAGTGATGTGGGCATCTAGTCAGTTAGAGGGTAACCTTCACTCAAAGTTTGCTAACAGAAGCTAAGCTTTGATTTAGGAGAGCAAAACGAAAGGCCCTGCAGCTGCTGAGCCATAAAGAAATTGCTCACAACCTCAGGAATAGAAGAAATTTAAGGATTTCCAATGCTAAGGTCTTCAAAGCTTGTTTTTTGCTGCACAAAACAATCAGCTGTTTATTCCTCCTTGAGGAATTCAGCTGTGAGACTCTCACTGAATCATTTGTAAGAAAATCTATGTACAAGCATGTTCCCCATGTTACTTCTCCAATAGAAGAGTGGACTAGAGACCTCTGAAGTCCCTTACACCTGTAACTAGCCCACATTTCTGTAAGGAGGAAGCAAACCACCAATTTTCTCTCCAAACAGAATTAGGAGACTTACAATATGCTCACTTACAGCTTCTTATTGGGTAATTTGTGATAAAATAACAAATTCATGGTCTTTACCCAAGAGCTATTAAATACCTGTTTGCTGAACCCTAACATTTCTGAATGTCTTGTTATGGAGCTCACACACTACTGCTATGCACTGTTGGTCTGTTCTGAAAGGCCACCAGGGGTCTTGGCAATGTTGGCCTGGTATTAGGTGTGACTGCAGAGCCTCAGCCAGGCTCAGGTCAGTGCCTGAACTCTTTAGCTTGTTACTGTTTTTTCTCACCCTCCTGCAAGCTTGTTTGCCTTAAAAGTGAGATTTGTGTTACATAACTGTTCTGCATACCAGGCCTCTTCTGCAGTAAGCAAAGAATGTGATCACTGTCATATATAGCGAGCTCCACAGGACAATCTGAGATGTCTCAGATGTGGTAGGAGTAATGCCCCACACAGCTGGGCTCAGGGACAGGAGGGAGCAGAAGAATGGGGCTGGAGGCTCCTCCTTCCCACGGGACCATGCCCAGCACACGCCCTATAGCCTCTGCCACTGCTGCAGCACTCCGGTGCCACTGGCAGGATGCGTCCTACAGCTCACCTCTGCTCCGTGCAGCGCACAGTAGAGGGACAGGGGTACCAGCATTTACCCTCTGCTCCCTTCTCACACCTTGCCTCACTCTTGTTGCCCATTTAAAGCATATTATCCTTGTCCAGGCTGCCATCCAGGGCCACCACAGTATTTGCTGCTACCTGTCCTCACTCCAAGGATGCAGAGAGGCTGGTGGCTCTGGCAGGGCAGCTGTAATCAACCCTGATCACCACACAGCCCTGCCCTTGGCATAGCCTGGACCCAGCAGCTCTGGCCAAGACTCCGTGGTCTGCCCTGGGTGCTGGTGACAATCTGGAGAGGTGTGTGGGGAAATCCTGCATACTCCAGTAGCAAATAAAGAGCTCTGTTACAAAGCTGTCCTAACTCACTGGTTTGGAGGGAACCACATGAAAGCACAGAGCAGAACTAAGTTCCTAAGCCTCTCGCAGAAACAAGCATAGCAGGGGCAGAGAGGTGGCTCAGATGTTGAAGTGGCACTGAAGGCAAGGGCACAAAACATTTGAGAAAGGTGTAAAGCACTTTGCTCTGGAAACAGCTCCCTTGTTCTCACCAGCTGTGCACCTGCTGGCACCTGGCCACCCTGCCACATCAGTGAGGCCATCCTGGAGAGGTAAAATGAGTTGTCCCTGCAAAAAGCAGTGACTGAGGCAGATGCTTGCTCAAGAGTGAGGCAGGTGCTATGCCACTGAGAATCTCTGCAGCAGTGCAACCTGGGACCCCTGCAGCCAGGAGCTCCCAAAACACCTATTCCCCGAGGAAATCATGCAAACAGCTGAGAGAGCCAAGCCATGCTGCTGAGCAGAGTGCCTTGAAGATATCAGTCACACGTCTCCTTTCTACCCCTTCTCTTTCCCTTACAGCATGACAGTGACTACACAGGGAAAATCCTCTCAGAGTGACAGAAAAACAATTGAAAAATAAAGTATTTTCTGTCTCCTTCACCTTCCCGCAGATCTTGTACATAAAAGCCAGATTATTACCCTAGAGACTAATAATATGGTAATTGTAACATTTTTGACCTTGAAATTTCAGGATGTTTACTGAAGAAGTTATTATTTCACATTGAAATTACTAATGTGCATTCTTTAAGATTCCCTAGAGAGTTGAGTGCAAGCTCAAAGAATACAGAACAGAATTTTATCCTGGTATGTGACATGTCTCGTTAGGAAATTCCCACTGCTCTCCTTTACCTTGTTTTCTTTGCTCCAGCTCCATTTCCAGAGATAGGGGTGGAAAGCTGAGCTGCCACTACCCATCAGCTGCGGAGTGAGAACTCTCTCATTTTATTTTCAGATGCTGACCACCTGCTAAGCCACAGAAATGCTGGCTTCAAACACCAGTAAAAGACTTTGAAAAGGAACAGGCGTGGCTCTAATTTCCATCATACTGCTGCACTAACTCCCCTGAAATTGGGATCAAAGATCCAGCCTGGGGAAGAGCTGCTTTACTTTTCCCCCCATCCTTTTACTCTCCCTGGTTTTATTACCCATGTGTAAATTAAAAGCCCAGTTTGCTTGCTGCTCTGTGGAAATGGCATCAGAGATGGTGTGCACTGGTTTGGGCTGGGATATAGTTAATTTTCTTTATAGTAACTGGTGTGGGCTGTATTTTGGATTTGTGCTGAAAATAGTGATGATAATTCAGGGATATATTTGATTTTGCTGGGCAGTGCTTACCCAGAGTCAAGGCCTTCTCTCTCCCTTACTCCACACCACCAGTGAGAAGGCTGGGGTTACACAAGGAGTTGGGAGGGGACTCAGGACAGCTGAGCCCAGCTGACCCAAGCGATATTCCCTATCAAATGGCTTCATACTTGACACATAAATCTGGGGGAAGAGAAAGGGAGAGCAGGATATTTGGAGTAATGGCATTTGTCTTCCCCAGTAACAGTCACATGTTCAGCCATTCCCCCGATTCCTGGGGGTGGCTAAACGTCCTCCTGCTCCTGGGAACTGGTGAATGAATTCCTTGTTTTGCCTTGCTGCGTGCACAGTTTTGCTTTACCCATTAAACTGTCTTAATCTCAACCCACGAATTTTCTCACTTTTTTACCCTTTGGATTCTCTCCCCCATCCCACTGTGGGGGTGTGAGTGGCTGTGTGGGGCTGAGTTGCCAGCTGGGGTTAAACCATGACAGACAACTGGTGGGGATGATGTGCAGAGGGAGCTGGAAACCTCCAAGCAACAGAGCAGTTGCTCTGCTCCAGGACATGGAGGAGCAACATCAGCCTCTCACCTCTCTGGGAGGTAGCACCTGAACCTCTCCTTGGAAAAGGAAGGTCTAGCAGAACCCACTACCCCAGAGAAGCCTTCCCAAAACAGAAGCTTGAGCAAGCCTTATCCCTTCCTTCACCAGAACCCAGAAATACCTTCCTTCTGGGCTAAATACTCTTTTTCCCTCACTCTAAACCACAATGTTTCTGTTCCTGTACATGCACTTTAAAAGAAGGCAAGCATAGGATATATGGAGGCTTTAAAAACCCAAGAAAGATAAAATGTTTGCTAGAGATGAGAACTCAGGCCCCTTTGAGTGATGGCACGGGGAAAGGCAGAGCACATGCATATCTCTCTGTGAGCTCTGAGTGCCTGGCTCTGGGATGCCCTACCCTGTTCAGCCTTCCAGTTGCAGCCTAATCCTCAGGGTCTGCACACTGATTTCCCTTCTCACAGAAACATGCTCACTGTAGCTTTGCTCCACACTCTTTAGGTTTGACACTGATTTTTTTACGCACACAGCTTGGGTCTAAGGTGGCAATTTTCTGTGGAAGGGCTTGGTTGAAGCATCATTTGGTGACCAGCAAAAACATGTTATCTGCTACTTTTTTCTGTACAGTCCTCACTACATAAGAATTGCATGTACACTTCCAAAACAGCCTTTTGCATGTGTACTCTCAATTCTCTGGAAAACATTGGGTAATTGGATAGCAAAGAGTGTCTCACACTCTGTGAGACAGCAGTAAATGCAGTATTATACATCTGTGCTCCCCAATGCAATTATATAGGTTTCCATTAGGAAAAAAAAGCCTGATGGCTCCAAAATCAGCAAGTGATTCCACTGGCAAATAAAGGCTTGAAGACTTTTAAGTCCATTCAATATCTCTGAAATCCAGCACATGTAAAGTTCCCAAACATTCCCTTTTGTGCTCTGCTTTGTTTTCTTGGCCTGCAGTGTCAAAATGCAGTCATGTCATACATTAAAGTCTATAAAACTGTGACAGTCTGGAGAGGAGTAAGCTTAGACAGATTTCTTTCTAATGATTGCACCCCTTTAGTGCACTCCTGCATCCCATCCTGACATATCTCAGCAAAGGCTGGAGATGTGCACTGAACACCCAGCCAGCCCGTGACACTCAGACAGACTGTTCACAGATGCTTGAGCATACGCCAGCTTTCCCATGGATCTGAAGCTGTGGCTTTGTACAAATGGATCAGGACAAAGCTCTGGCTGCACTACCCACCAATACTACCAGGTATTGACAGGACAGTGTTCCAAGGCACTGCTGCATGTGCCATGTGCACTTTTCTACTAACCTCAGTGTATTGCTGAACCACGTTTTCAGGAGTCGGTCCCATGAAGAGATAGAAGTCAAGGATCCCTCCAACAGTGCGGAAAATTAAAGATGGGTTTGGAGACAGAGTAACATCTAAAAGGGGGAAAAAAGGGTCCTCAGTATAAACCAGCTCTGCACTATACATGGGAATAGATCAAGAATGCACCAGGAGAGGTTGAGACTCAACATTCAGAGGCATTTCTTTACTGAGGGTGGGCAAATGCTGGAACAGCCTTCCTAGAGATGTTGTTGATGCCCTGAGCCTGTCAGTGTTTAAGAGGCGTTTGGACAATGCCTTAACAACATAATTAGCCTCTGGTCAGCCTTGAAGACTTCAGGCAGTTGTACTACAAGTATTTTTTATGTCCCTTCCAACTGAAATACTCTGTTCTGTCCTGTCTGTCCTAGGTGTGAGCACACTGGGCTCTTCTGTGCGCCTTGTGGGAATGACTGCTTGAGCAAACAGGGCCTGAAGGCAGGCAGGCCATTGCCCAGTGTTTCTGTAATGTCTGCTCCAGACTGGCATGGTGCAGCAATGAATCACAGAAACCCACACAGAGTAGATTGCATAGATCCATTTGTCTCAGTTTCATATATATAAGAAGGATCAACAAGTTTGTGTTTAGGGTTCCTCTATACTATTTTAATCTTACTGAAAGCCATTGTCTGCCAGGGGAAACTGATTTTACAGACTAAGTGAAGATTCCTCTTTTCTGAAATTATAGCACTAGATTCATGCAGTAAGGTGACCATGGCAACATACAAAACTATTCTCCAAAGACAAAATATAGGAATAACCTAAATTGATTTGATTTGTTATGCCAATCTCAGAGGAAATTTCTTCCACCATTTTCTTTCCCTCTATTTGCATCTATTTTCATAACAAAAGTTAAGAATATATTTTCCCTGAAAAATGCCTAAAAATGCCCAAATTCCTTGTTAAAAATTCATTCTATTGAAATCCCGTTGAAAAATGTTCCAATACTCTATCAGTCCTGGAAGCTTAGTTAGGGCACAGTCACTCATATTTGTATCAGATTGAAAAAGCAATCAGTAAAACAGTATTTTATACTTACTCATCTATCTTAATTCTATATGCAGTCTATATAGGGAATCCATGTATCTTTTTACCTTGTGCATTAGAGTTCAGAAGGAGAACACCATGGGCATTGGAGTCTGGTTCTACGCACATATAGAAAGGGTGAACTCCATAGAGGTTGGCAAATGACTGAAACATAAACAACACATGACTTTGCTACTTTTCATAGCTTTTGTCAGGTAGATACATATGCACAGACAAGGAAATAAATTCATTAATTTTTAGAGACTTATTTTGAAAGGTTGGGGACTTTTTCCATCTAAATTGGTGTGAAGTCAAATTGACAGAAAAGAGTTATTTCTTTTATGCTTTGCCACAATGTAATTTTTTAGTCTTTCCCAGTTAAACCTTTGATATTGTGCTAAACCCTTCAAAATAGCATGAGTAAGAATCACTTTTCTAGTTAAAACAGACTCATCAACCATTGACTCCAGTTCAGCCAAATATCTAGTGAGTCCTGTTGGAGTCTAGCTTGTTTGGATGAACATGGATTGATCCGAGCATGAAATGCAAAGCTCTCCTGAACCAGGATCTTGGCACACAATGTACTTTTTTCTGAAAACTGCACTGTGAGAAAAGGTTCTGATAAAAGGTTTCAAAGTTCCCTTAAAGCAATTCATGGCTTTGTTTTTAATTAAGACTGATGATACCTGTAAAATTTGTGACATTACATGTTTGTCACCTCTTTTTGGTGACACAAGGTAGGACAAAGTGTTGCATAGAGTGAATTACCGTTGGTGACTGGTCCCTGGAGAACATGCCATAGGTAACAAAGTCCATGTTGTGCTTGAAGGTCGGGTGCTCATGTTCACCAAACCCATACACAGAAGTGGATGGCACTGTGGTGGTGATCTGAAGGAATTGGTTGGAGAAAAACAGATCAACCAGGGGACTGTCCCACCTGTGACAAACAGAGGGAGACAGGATTAGTTTGCTACTCTTTGGAGTATCATTTTAAGTTCATGTCTGGCTATTTATACTTTTTATGTATTTTGGAGGATAACAGTATTAAAAATCCATTAAATTCTATGCATGTGTCTAACGTGCTTAACCTAACATATTAAATTCATCTTGCAATGATTGAAGATATCTTACCTACTTATGCAAAAAAAATGCATTAATATAATTTTTGAAAAGAGCAACAAAAACAAAGAAGACAGACTATAAATCTATTATCAAAATAAGTGATTGCTTATCCTATTTCTATGACAACCAATGAGAAAAGGCTAAAAATTGTTATTACACAGTGGAGTTCAGAATACTTAATGAGAACAACAGACATTTTATCAGCTTTTTTTTAATGTTTTGCTGCATCAGGATCCGAATATACCTAACTTCATGCAGGTGCCTAAAATAGAGGTATAGCTTTCTCCAGCCTCTGCTTGAACAAGATGTTTTTATTGTGATGACTCCTGCTTCTCTCACCAGCTTAATGCATTTATTTCTATTGAATCATCTGTGGACACAGGCTCACATTTTAATTAGGTGCTACATTCTGTTTCCCATCTCTAGAGCTATAATGAGCTGCAAGTTAGATGGGGGAGAACATAGTCAAGCTGTGGAGAAGTGTTTTGTTAATGGTCCTGTGTATGCCATGAGTAGCTCATTTAGATAGCACCCTCTCGAGCCTTGTTTAACCATGAATTTGTTACAGCTAATTAAAATAAATGAGCCCAAGCCATAGAGCATAGAAGTGGCATAACTCTCCTTTTAATGTTCTTCTGTCAGTGATTTTGACAAAATTAAATGGTTGATCAAATTGACTGGTAAATCAGAGAAATGGGAGATGAGTTGTGTTGGTGGGGAGCAGCTCTACCCCCATGAGGGGAGCGCTCTGGTGAGTGGCCTGCCACCTGTGCCACCAGCACCCCTGCCAGGGGA